AGCACACATCTCCACTGGATTCCCCATGCTCTGCCAGCAGGGTGTGCATGCCCGGGGAGGCCGGCTTTTTAACCTAACCAGCCAACGGGACGGATGGCGGGACCGCTGCACCCACTTTCCTATTGACCCAGCAGGTGTCCACCAATTCTGGAGGAACGCTGAGAGAGGCCACCAAGGTGGCTGCCCTCTCTGCCCTCCTCATCCAGGGCCCCGGCGGTGCCCAGGCCTGGGCCCACCCATCTGGCCTTCCTCCTCCTGGTCGACCCTGTCCAGCCAGATAGGCCAGCCATCAAGGTTGCCAGCGTGAAGAAATACCCAGCTACTCGGGGGGTGGGGGTGGGGGTTCCCTGTCCTAGTGCTACCCACTCCCAGATCACGCATTCTGACCCCAGAGCAGGCTGCAAGAAGCTCGTGGGAAAATTCCATGATCTTGCCTCCCACTTTCCAGGCTGTGTGAAGCCCCTTCCTGTCACTGCTTAGTAAGTCAGCCTGAAGACAGCGCTGAGGATGGGGACCTTGCCGAGTTATGCATACGCGTGGCAGTGGCATCCGCTAGGGCAGACACGGAGGAGCCCGGGGCCTGGAGGATGTCCCTCTTCAGTGTCCTCTAGCACAGTCACCCTCACTCTGCAGAGACCTCCGGGGCCCAGCTGGAGGGGATGTCAGGGTTGCTGGCTGGCCTTCATTCGGCCACTGTGCCTCTGAATCTCTGGAGGGGGGGCTGGGGCTGGCCCCCAGTGTTTACTAGCAGAGAACCTGAGGAAGTCCCTTCAAGGGCCATCCCTCTGCCCACAGTGCCCCCCTGTGGCAGAGGCCAGGTAAAGCAGCAATACTGGAGCGGGCCCGGAGTGTTTAGGAGTCACACAGACAGCCCTGCAAGGGCGTTTGGTGTCAGAGCAGCAGGAAGTCCGAGGCAGAGGCCCCAAGGCCCAGGCAGGCACACCTGGAGAGGGGCAAGTGGCAGGGCAGTGGGGCAGCTCAGAGCGGCTTCTCGAAGAGGTACTCGAGGTCGGGGGCGCGCAGGCGCTGTTCTCTGTTCTTGTTTTTGGCAAAGTCTCGCAGCAGCTCCAGGACCTCGTTCTCGAATATTTCCGGGGCTGGTTTGGCTTCTGCAAGAGAAGGTGGATGTCAGTCGCTGGCGTGAGCCTCGAGCCCCAGAAGAGTCCCAGGCCTTCGCCAGCCTTCCTCTCCAGCCACCCCACCTGAACCACTCACACCCCAGTGTCCCAGGGAACTAGCCGCATGTGCTGGCCAGGGTTCCTGCTCCCTCTCTGAGTTCACTGGTGAGGGAGTGAATGCTTGTAAAGCATCCGCCGGGGCGCAACATGGTCTCTATCCACCCGAAGTGCAGAGGAAAGAGTCGGGAATTGAAGGGGGACATACAATATGTGGCTAACGGCTGTCACGAACAATGGCCTCCTGAGCTGCGAGACCAGAACTGGGCAGAGTCGGCCACTCTTAGCGAACATTTTGAGCAAAGATTTTACACAAGTAGATGAATCCTTATCAAAAGGGGGAAACTTTTCAGAACAGTTTCAAACTCTCATGGAATCCGGGTGGCTTTCTGGAGTCGAGGATGGACAAACCCCCCAAACTACTATTCTGGGGTAACTTTTAAACCATAAGCCAAAAATATCTCCCGAAGTTGTTTCTACACCCAACAGGAGTCTCACTGTATTAGTAGAGTCCGCTCGGGTGAGCAGTGAACTCTTCGGACAAACCACCAGGAAGGCATCTGCGGATGGACGGATGGAGTGACCGGAAGCTGGCGGGCGGTGGGAGGGTGCGGTGAGTCACTGGATAAGGCGTTGTTCCCACCCACCTACCCGAATGACTGGGAAGGACTATGCAAAGCTCAGGTGTTTGTGGCCCACTGTAGGGATCGGGAGCTTGCTAATAATAATCTAAGTAAGGTTCGTAGCACCCGTGGGTGGGCCTTAGGAATAAGGTATATGGATCCATAAGGTGGGGATTGGTCAATTCTGCCATGCCACCAAGTTTGAAGACAACTCTTCACAGAAGCAGCAGAAGAAAGAAGAGCCAGGGTTGGAGCGTGTCCTCTGGACCCTGAGCTTGCTTGATGCTGGACACAGAGCCCTGACACCAGGGACAGTAAGGCAGCGGAGTCAAGGGGATGACACAGAACTGCGAGGCTCCCAGCCCACAGAGCAAGAATGCTGGGTGCCCGCAGGCAGGAGGCCTGTGGTGAAGTGGGGTGCCTCCAGGCACTTAATGGGGAAGTGAAGTTGGCCAACACAGAGCTGAGTGCTTTCAGGCCAAGGTTTCCGGGTGGAGTCAGCGCTTAATCAGCAGGGCAGAGGCACAGAGCCATGGGGCTGAGAGGTTAAGAGCCTGTGGGCCCAGCAGAGAAAAGGCTGAATGAATCAGGAATTGTAGCCTAAATGTTCCTGATTGATCCTGGATTCTGTGAGCTTTCCTAGTAAACGCCATAATCTGTGTGTTCCACGTGCAGGTGGAGGAAGCCGTGGGGGGTGGTTGGAAAGGGTGACAGTAGAGCGTGCCTGGCCTCCATCTCACGGGAATGGCCTTGGGCTTACGTTCAGCTTGACTTCCCCCTTGTGAAGTCAGAGGCAGGGCCTTGCCGCCCTAGTGCCATGCTCACAGGGAGGAACAGTTTGCTGAAGGTGAGGGTGACTGGGCCACATGGAGACTGTCTCCACATCAGTCACTGAGCTGAACACACATGGAGACCATTAAATGAGGGTGTGTGATAGGTAGGTTTATTGTGCCAACCTGGCCAATAAGAACATGTAGGATTAATAAGGTTACAGTTTGATTGTAGGGCAAAGAGATAAATGGCTCGGTGAGCCCCGCCTCTCTCTCTCTTGCTCTCTGGTGATCAGACCGGCATGTGGCTACCTTAGCTAGTTCTCTGCCTCAACTTGGGAGCCACACTGTCTGTGGGACACCCAACCTGTGGATCATGTTGCTAGAGCTTGAGGTTCCTTTGAGACCTGCTTCGCCACACTGCTGGTGTATACATCGCTTGAGCTGGGGAAATGTCGGATCCTGTCATCTGGCTGACTGGTGGTAATCTGCCTTGCTGTTTGCTACCTGTGGCCGGACTGCCTGCATTGCTCTACAGGAGACTCAGCTGTCTGCTTTCTTTACCTTGGACCCAGCGGGGCCCCCCCACTCCCCATGAGTTGAAGGACTTCCAGTATATTAACTCTTCACGGAAGTGAGTTGAACTAAGCCCTCTGTACTGCTGTGTGAACTCATTAGCTATTATATTCCTTCATGCTGTATATATCTAGCCTCATATATATAAAATCATAAGTGTTTTGTTTCCTGGTTTTGTTTCTCTAGAGAACCCTAACACAGGGTGTGTTCTCAAGAATAACAGGATATCATGAAAAAGCAAAAAGAGTTGACTCAAATTCCCAGCAAAGCCTCTCATTGGCAAAGCTTAGTGGGCGCACTGTGGCCACCCACTTAACAGGACAAAATGCACTATGCATGTTAATGGAAGAGGGTTACACACACACACACACACACACACACACACACACACACGGCCTGGAGGCTGGCGGGCCTGCTGTGTGTGTAGGCCTCTCCTGGGGACAGAGGGCCATGCTTGCTCTCCAGGGGAAAGCCAAGCAACAGGACTGACTGCATCAGGACTGAGGCCAGCTGGCAGAGAGGGCCTGTGAAAAGCCTACGAGCCCTCACACACAGGGCCAGGAAGGGCGATGGGCCCTGCACTCGTGGGTGGGGACTCAGTGCCCTGCTGGTGCCAGGTGGGGGCTCCTCAGGCGCCCCTTCACAGAGCACACTGGCTGCTCAGAGCAGAGGCCTGGGGACAGAGGCTGGAGGGAGCAGCAGAAAGCCCAGCCTAGACCCTTCTCCTGCGCAGAGATGGGAGTACCCAGGTGAGAGGGCTGGAGAGAACCCTCTCCCTCTGTGGGAAGCCAGGACCCCATCCTGAGCCTAGACCATTAGAGGCCCCCACCACTTGGGGACGGTGTCCTGGGGGAGCATGGCTTAAGCACTCTTGACTGCTAAAGGAAGGTTGGCAGTTTGAACCTACCCGGTGGCTCTGGAAGAAAGACCTGATGATCTATTTCCCACAAAGAGCACAACCTGGAAATCGAGGTGGGGCGGCTCTATGCTGTCACATGGGGCCCGCTGAGAAAGGGGCCACAGGGCCTGCCCAGGTCAGAACTAGCCTAGAGAAACAACACCCTCCCCCACCTGTTCCCAGAGGAATCATCAGTGAGAGACAAGCAGTCCGCCTCTCCTACAGACGTGGAGTGGGGGCGAGGGGGAGGCAGAGAGAGGCCCAGAAATTCAGGCGAGCAGACACGCGGGGAGGGTCTGACAATACACAGAAGACAGAGGTCAGGAGACTTTCACAAAGACCAGCTGCCACGAGAGAAAGGAAGTTCCCCGGGCAGAAGCAATAGGCTCTCCAGAAACAGTTCTCAACGAAGGGCCGTCTGAAACCATGCGTGTTTGATGGCTTTCCTGATTTCAAGTTGTTCTAAAGAGGGCAGATGGCCAGGGGCAAAGGGTGCAGCCATGCACTGTGGTTCCCTGGGCTGGGACAGGGGTCCTGCAGACACCAGGGCAGGAAGATGGGACGGGGCCGGGGCACGTCACCACAAGCAGTACAGCGTGGCCTGAAGGAAGGCCGCCGAGAATTACAGGTGCAGATTCGGAGGCACAGGACAAGCACACCAGACGTTTAACAAGAGAGCCCACATTTGGGGCTGAAAACCAACGTTTTGGGCTTTTGTGTTTTTTTTCCCCAACAACTACAATGAAATAAAACGAGAAGCGCACGAACAGGGCAGTATCTGGAAAATGTTTGGAAAATTCGTTCACATACTTCTACACTCCTGGGTCACAGCGGAAGAAGGCGCGAGGGAAACTGCACACTTTCTACAGGGGGTGCGGATAGAAACCAACCACAGCACCACTTGTCACCTGAGGCCAGTGACAGGCACCGTGGAGCTGCCTCACAACCTTTGCTGCTCAGAGAAGAGGGCCTCTCACAAATCAGCAAGCTGAGTGTCCACAAGAACATCTCGGAAAGGTGAGACTGAGAAGCTCGCAGAAGGAAAGGGAGAAGGAAGCGAGCAGAATCCATTGAAACTGAAGACAGAGAACCGCTGCTGGAATCACAGGCTGCACGAGTCCAGTGACAGGACATTCTGAAAAAGGCAGAACTCCAGGCAGCGAAACTGGTGGTGGCAGGGGCCTGTGGGAGGGGCATGCAAAGGGAGGGCGACAGGTGGGGCCCAGCCAGTTTTGAGGACAGTGACAGTACTCTGCCCGATCCTGTCACAACATGGGCAGATGACTTCTCTGGTCAAGTGCCCTCCTGTAGATTTCCCACTCGAGGGATTCCCATGTAACAGTTGCACTGCATCAGAGGGTTTGCCGGGCGGGCATCTTTAGGGACCACCAGGTCTTTCTGTCCCAGAGTTACTGGCGGGCTCAAGATGGTAGCTTTCTTAGGAAGAAGCCAGAGTTCTAATCTTTAGGGAACCGGGGCTTGTTATGCATGACACTGCAAATGCGTTAAATCCCATCTTTCTGTAGACTGCACAACACTCCGGTGGCCTCTAGTAAACTAACATGTAACAAGTGTATCAATATACTCTCAGCAATGGAAACAAAGTATCATGCCATCACCAGATAAGAAATGAAGAAGAACCTGGGTACAGAGAGTGCTTGTGGGAATGCTGCGCTTTCTGCAGACATGACACTGCTCTAAAGTACAGTCCGTGGGAACCAGTGGAGAGGTCTGAGGAGCCAGCCCCAATCCCAACTACGTGGACAGCTGCCCCTCCCCTCAGAAGAATTTCTTTCAGAGGGACAGCACTGAAGCTATAGCTCAGGGAGAGAGACGTGTCTGATCAGAACACACAGGAGCAATGAAGGGGGAGGAAGAGAGTGGAGTACATCCTGGCCGTCCAAGCCTTGAGGACAATATCCCTGATCAGAGCAGCCAGTGCACAGAGGGGACCATATAGCCAGCCCCACTATGAGGGAATGGAGCAGCGAGGTCCCCAGGGAATGCTGAAGGTGGACTTTGGGGCCAGGGCGTGGTGCCCCAACAGACTGGACTGGAAAACACTCCTAAAGGCCAACAAACAGTCCTTGAACTAACTA